TCAGCGCCACACATGCGTATGACGAGAGCTGAGTATGGCTCTCAAGTGGCCGTTTGCTGACCCAGGCCCTAGCCCATTGACGTATCTCCCTCTCTCCACCCGCTCTCCCTTGTCAATCTCCAATGTCTTTCCCCTTTGCTATGGGCATCGTTACCAATCCCGCCCACCCCGCGCCCCATGGCAGTACTCTCATCTAGTATTTGTCCTTTTGTGGTTGGCTAACTTCACTCTGCAGAATGTCCTCCAGGCCTCCAAGCTACCAGGGGTTCTTGGTTTCCTCCTTGTTTTGGCTTGTTTTGAGCGACGCACAATATTCCCCGCTGTGTGTGTGTAATCACGGGTCCTTGCTGTTCTTCCACGGATGGGCGTTCAGACTCTTTCCATCTTCTCGCTATTGTGAGCAGCGTGGTGACGAACCCGGACGTGGGTCCGTTATGTTGTCACTCCACATCGCCACGAACCTTCTGAAGCCCCTCAGATGGTAGGGTTTCTTCTCCACCAGACTTCTGGGAGATCAAATCAAATGGACTCTCTCACTCAAGACCTGTCACAGAGCAGAGTCTCAATAACAGCCATTGGATAGATGTCCCGGTGAATCTGAGTTTCCACGGTGTTTTCAATTCTTCAAGAAGTTCTCCAGTGACCCCCGAACCTCCCTCCCCTCAATCCCCTAAGGAAAGAAAAGATCCCAGCAATAGCATAAAGTTCCCAGCACCGTCCCAGCTCCTTAGAGCTTGGAAGCAGTTGCCCTTTAATGGGCTCCATGCTGTTCCCACGGACTGAGAAATGTCAGAAGGCTTTTATTAGGAAAAAAAAATTCCATTTTGCCACAAAGAAGTACTTGTTCTAGAAAAGACTGAGCAACTTCCTTATGTCACTTGACAAGGTTCCAACAATGAACAGGTGACCCCAGCCATAAAATTAGGTTGGATGGTGAGGTGGCGAAGTGGCTGTGGGGGAGGGGGCAGGTGGAATCCCTCAACCTTTTCAACTCAGGCGCCCACTGAATGGGGAATCTGGAAGCAAATGGGGCAGGTCCCTTTCTGTACTTCTTCACCCTCATGGCGAGGGCACTGGGGGATCTTGAACACTTGCCTGCTCCCGCTGAGCCAGCAACGACGGAAAGTCCAGACTCCGGAGTTAGGTGGTCCTGGTGCCACTCTCGGCCTCGCCACCACCTCCGTGTGTGATGGGAGCAAAGGATTTCCTCTCTCTGTGCCTAAGGAGCCCTGGTGGCTTGGTGGTTACACGTTGAACTGCTAACTGCGAGGTCAGCAGTTTGAAACCACCAGTCACTCTGTGGGGGCTTTCTGCTCCGTAAAAAGTTACAGTCTAGGAAACCCATGAGAGCCGTTCTACCCTGTCCAATAGGGTTGCTACGAGTCAGCTTCTACTCGATAGCAGGGAGGTGTTTTTTGGTTGGGATTTTTTTTTTGGTGTGTGTGCCCAAAGTAATTGGTAGTTTAGGGATAATAATAATCCTTATGTTAGAGCACATGTGATAATATATGTAACACACGTTGCACACCTAATGTTAGCAATTATTATTATGATTAAGCTGTTGTTAAGGGTGTTGCTGAAGTGGAGAAGGCTGATAGTGGAGAAGGTTAATTCTAAATCCCAAGTTTTAATAAATAAGTTGGCTCTCGTCATTCCTGTTCACGCGTTCTACCGAATCGCATCTCTATCCCCTTGTCTTCCCCTCCCTTCTCTATAGTCCCTTGATGGTTAAGTATGCAATCAGGCACTATCTAATTTCTCCAGAAAGCATGTACAATGGGGATTATATGCTCCATTTCACAGGGAAGAATCTAGAGACTTGGAACAGTGAGGTGACTTGTAGTTGGCAAAGCTGGATTCAAATCAGGTACGGCGGACTCCCAAGCCCCTGCAGAGGGAGATGGATCTGATGGAGATGAAATTTGACCTCCTTTTGTAATTCCTCTCCATCCTTACAACCTTCCTTCCCAGATCCCCACATCAACCTTAGCACAAAGCCTTCCACTAGGTTGGCTTGTCCTGGACTAAGTTCCCCACTTTGGACTGATTTCTCCACCACAGCATCAAGGCTAGTCCTCTGCCTCCTGTGCCACTGGGCAGAGCAAGAAACTCTTCACCCCAGCGTGCCAGTGGCTGATGGGCAAGGCAGAGATGGAGGCCAGAAGTCCAGGACACCGGGATTTGTCTGTAGGACAGCGGGAGGTATGCGATATTCTCTACCATTTTACAGACGAGAGAACTCAAATGAAGGCTCTGAAAGTGCTGTAACTGAACGGGGTCCCCCAGTGGGTTAGAACTTGACTTTGAACTTGGCCTCCCATTGCAACCCATTGGATAAGTAGCAAGAGTGGCTCCAAGTGGCACAGGATGGATTCTGAAAAGAAAAGGTAGAAAAAGCCACACGGGTCAGATCTAGCGTTGTTAAAGAACTGATGGACAGCGGTTACACCAATCCCCACCCCACCCCCAATGTACAGTGAAATATTGACAGGCAGCCAGGTAGAGGTCTGTGCCCAATAGCAAGGTTTCAGCATTTATACACCAAATGTAAGGCCTATATGCCAGGGGGCCTGAACAATGGTGAGTGGGTTGGTTTTTGTACTTGGTCATAGGTCTCAATGGACATTGCCACGGAAAGTTTGGTGTGTTATTTCCCTGGCCCAGGCCACTCTCCCTGAGTCCTTTCTATGGGAGCAGGCCCCACTGTGTATTGCTCATGGCCCTTCACCTTTTCCTCTCTGGCTTCTTCCACTCACATCCTCTCCCCAGCATGGCCTATTTCCTCTGTTGCCCTGCAGGGCAGCCTGGGCTGAGTCTGGCCTTCAGAATTCTGTCTCACATGGCCGGGGGTGAGCACGTGGTTGGGACCAGCTGGGCTCCTAAGGCGGTAGTGTCAGCAGTGTCAGAGCACCTTTGTCCAGGGGGATGGAGGACACATCTTTAGGAGGCTCCCAGGTGCCAGAGGCTCAAACAGAAGATCCCCTACTGAGGCTTTTCTCATTTTCACAGTGTAAGGTCCGCAGAGAGAGGGAGAGACTTGCTTAAGAGTACCCAGCAAGGTTGGGGCAGAGTGGGGCTCAAATCTGGTTCCTGCCAGCACAGCTCCCTGCAAATGAGGCTGGAGGGGCACGCCCAAGTCCCTGCGAAATTTGGATCACATTGACAACAGGAACTGGAGAGATTAGAGAGGAAGCTTAGGGGGATAGCAAGTCATGGTTGTGGGGAAGCAACCGCTTGATTGAATTGGTGCAGATTTTGTCTGCATTTTCAACAACAACAAACAACAACAACAACAGCTTTCAAAAGAGGGAAACACGTCTGTAGGTCCACCATGCCATTTCCATCGCTCTCTCTTCTCTTTGATATAGGTGACAGGTGTTGGAATTCTTGTGCCTCTGTGAACACTGGGCCTCTGGATTGTGAAATTCTTTTGCCTCCGTGAATACGGGACCTCTGGATTTTGAAAACTCTTGGCACTGTTTCTGTGCTCACCAGAGAATCCCTTCTCAAACCTGCAAGTGGTGACCCGCTTTCTGCCAAGGAGGCAGCACGAGGAAGGAGAGAGAGCCATAGGGTAACATCACCCCCAGCGAGCTCTGGCATTGACTGTCTGTGTAACCTCAGCCAGGGCCTCCACCTCTCTGAGCCTCAGTCTCCTCCTCTTATGAGACAGGTCTGATAAGGGCCTCTCCTTTTTTTAAAAAAAATTTTCAAACTCAGTTTATTGGGGGCTCTTACAGATATTACAACGATCTATAAATCAATCACATCAAGCAAACTTGTACATATGTTGCCATCATCATTTTCAAAACGTGATCTTTCTAAGGCCTCTCCTCCCCAGGCTGTTCTGACGGTTCGTGGCTGTAAGAGCTAGCACAGTCAGCCACACAGAGTAAACCAGTGTCTCTTGAGTTGATTCCAACTCATAGCAACCCTGTGTGTGTCAGGGTAGAACTGCTGTGCTCCACAGGGTGTCCAGGGCTGATTAAAGAAAAACAAGAAGAAGAAGAAGTCATCTTCTGCTGAGCCCCCTCTGCATGGATTTGAACTTCCAACCTTTCAGCTAGCAATGAGGGCAGTAACCATCTCTCCACCACCCAGGGACTCCTGGCACAGCACATAGTCAGCCGTCAAGAAATACACACCCGCCACTCGTCTGGTGGAAATGGTTTGCCACGGAAGCCGTGGTGGAGGCTGGCTTCTGGTTGAGACTTCAAAGAAGGAGCCAGCATGAGGGGGGGGAGGGAGGGAGTGGGAGAGAATGTCCTTTCTCCGTGTCACTGGTAGCCATCCTGAACTGCACACGCCCAAGGCCAGCTTGGGCAACACGGACTATCTCTTTTCATGCGGTCATCCTGTGGGGCAGGGTGTCCTTCGGGCCCATTTGGCGTGGCTTAAAAGCACAAGTGTCCCTCTACCCCCACTCCCACCCCCTCCTGGGAGTTCATAAGGCCAGTGGGATGGGTACCACAGAGCTGCCCTGCACGTACCTTATAAGAAAAAAAGATTCTTCGAGTAGTTAGCAACGTCCATATGTATAGTTTTATTTTCCTTTGTGTAAATCCAGGGGTGGGTGGGGAATGCGGCCATTGTCCCTTGTTCTGGAGTCTGCTGGTGACCTCAGCTCATAGGACTGCAAGGGTCTTAAGAATAATCCAGCCCAACTAGCTCATTTGGGGAAATTGAGGTTCAGGGAGGCCTTTCTGAAAGACAATCATGGAGCCAGGGTGAACCTTTGCCTGTGCCAGAGTTCCTTCTTCCCACGCTGACAATGGCACAGCCACCACAGGGGTGCCCCTTCTGAAGCTGTCATCCTGCAGGAGGAAAGGATGGGGAGGCAGGGAAGGAAAAGGACTGTGCCGAAGGAGCCCTTCTGAGATTTCCAGTTGGCTTTCCAATTTGGGGGTCTTGGGGAGGAAAATGGCATGTCATGTACCACCCTCTGCTGTCCTGCCTGCCCCTCCCCCCTACCGCTCCCCACCCCCCACATTCCCCTTGCTGAGGCTCAACCTGGGCACCCAGCAGCAAGCAGGACGGATGCTTGCGTGACCAGAAGCAGATACAAAAGGCTTTCAGACGCCCCTGACTATTAGGGTGTGGTGGGAAATGTGGGTTCTTGGTGAGAACTGTTGCATTTATGGGGCCTCTTATCTTTATGACAAATGTGCAAATAGGAATCGGGACGCACAAAGAAAGGAGAGCAACACCTTTCCAGAGCTGGTTCTTCAGCACGGGCCGGAGTCAGTCGGGCAGCACGGTGGTTGCTGCGGAGCCTGTCCTTGTGATCCTGCGATCCCTGCTAAGGCTAGGCCCCATGGCACCTCCTGGTGGGACGTGGGGAACAATTCCCAGACCCACTTGCTTCCCTTCCACCTCTCCCCGGTTCTGAGTCCCACTCCTCAGCACACACTCTCCTCTTCAAACCCTAGCCTGACTCCAGGGAACCCCCACGCAGTGGGGACTCTTGGTAGCACTGGGATGGACACAAAGTGGGTAGCCTTGGGGACACCCAGGATGAGGAAATATGGGCTCCAACTTCCCAGGGAGAAAAATGGGCACCAGCCCAACATGTGAACCAACTGCCCCAAATGCGAGAACCCCAACTCAAGACATTGGTACCAGCAAAATGAAATGGGGCCAGGAGGAAGAAGAAGAGTCCTGGTCCTGTTTGTTCTGCAGCAAGGTCCACATTCCAATCCTTGGCTCGAGTTCCTGGGAGAAAGCCAGGCAGACGGAATAAGAGAACAGGGGGCCCCTTGCAACAGTCAAGTTGTTTGTGCCTCCAGCCTACCCCCCAACAGCGGAGCGGTTCTAGGCCAAGGGCAGACACAGTCCTGTCTTCCAGCCATAGCGTTCTTGACCCAAGACTGCCACCTGGCTTTGGCTTGCAAGTCCAGCTGGCATTGAATCTCCCGAGGGAGCCAGCCTCAGCTCCTAGCCCCTTGCCCTGGCCATTGGGACAGGGACAGGGGCCCAAGAGGCTGAAGGAGTTGTAGCGGATGCCCAGCTACGGTGCACTCAGGCAACTGATGAGATCTGGCTGTGTTTCCTCACCCTGCAGAAGAGAGTCCGGGAGGAGGGCCAGCAGCGACCCTGGCCGACCGAGTGACAGCAGAAAAGGATGGACATCACTAGGGCCAGGCCAATGATGCTGGCCAGCACCCACCTGATGACACCTGGGTAGACGAAGGGGAGGATGAGGATGATCAGCAGGACGAGGAAGAGCAGGTGCGCAGCCAGGCGCCGGGCCGCTGTGCGGTTGGCGCTCATGGCATCTTGCCCATCCTCTCCCTCCAAGTTGGGGTGCCCTGCTGCTGAGGTGGCAGGATCTGCCAGGCCCTGCGGGCAGAGCTGCACCTCGAGGCAACGGTGGGCCAGCTGGCCCCGCATCCCCTCCGGGTCACGCAGGCTACAGATGAGGCCCCCAGGGATGGAGGTGACTTTGCGGCACAGCGGGCAGGTGAGGGACCAGGTGTCGTCCTGCACGCACAGCAGGAGCTTCAGGCAGACGGCACAGAAGACGTGCTGGCAGCCCAGCAACTTGGGCGGCCGGGCGCAGCTGTAAGACTCCCGGCACACCAGACACTCCAGCTCACCCCCCGCTGAGCCGAGATGCCACCCAGCAGGATCCTTGGCACGGGTGGTGGCAGCTCCCTCGGACACGGACAGGGACTGCTGGGGGACTGATTGCTCGGAGCTGTCGGCGCAGGCCATTCTGGACACAGCCCAGGGAGGTCAATGCTGCTCAGGACCTGGACTGAAGTCAACAAGGAGTCCTTGCTGGGGCCGCTGTGACCGGGTTAGCTTCTGACCCTGTGGCTGATGAGCCAAGGGACCCCTCCTTCTCGTCAGAGCCTGGTGACAACATCCATCTCCCACCGCTGTCTTCCAGAACTGCTCAGCGTGTTTCTTGATTTACGCGATCCCCTCCCTTACTATTATTTCTTTTCTCAAACCCTAGGGTTAATCAGTAACCCCGGGGCCGGCAGACTTTGAAAGGTCTGATAGGAAGGCCAAAGGGGGCAGGGCCTCGGGGTGAATCAGAACTTTCCAGTTGGAGTCAGGTGCCCGGGGCTCATGAGCTTTGCGACAAGTACAGGAATCCTCACCCCTCAGGCACCAGGAGAGCCTTTTAAAATGCAGGTTTCTACGCAGGAGGGTGAGCTTCCTAGGGCTGGGGGGATCCATGAGGAATCTTCATGGGTAATGAACATGTATGTGATTTGAATGCAGATGGGCGGGGAATCCACAGCGAGAAACCCCATCCCAGGGAGATGCCAGGGCTGGTGGAGAAATGTTGGGTTTTCCTGGGCACGCCCTGGGAAGCAGGTTTCCTCTTGATGATGGGAAGTGGTGGTGAAGAGAAAGCCCAGGCCAACAGCCAAGCCCAGCCAAGCTGGCCGCCACTGAGTCCATTCTAACGGGGGAGGGGGGGACGACACTCTGTGTGTGTGTGTGTGTGTGTGTGTGTGTGTGTGTGTGTGTGTGAACTCGAACTCTTGGCAGGAGCAGAAAGCCTGGTCTTCCGGCCACGGAGCAGCTCCACATGTAACTGCCCCACCACCACGTATCTGCTACTTGTTCGGGCTCCTTAAAGACCTAGCAGTGTGACTTTACCGCTTCTTGAGCCTCTTTGAGGTGCTGGATGGTCACCTCGGGACTGCAAACGGGTACCATTTGCTGTGTGCTGGGCATCAGGGGGTCTGGTGGCCTCATGGCTTGTCAGCTGGGCTGCTAAGTGCAAGGTCAGCAGTTTGAAACCATGAGAGAAAGATGAGGCTTTCTGCTCTATCCTGTTCTATCGGGTCATTCTGCCCTCAATGGCAGTGAGTTTGTTTCAGGATTCAGGAGCCCCGGTGGCCTAGTGCGCTATCCGATGGGTTGCTAGCTGAAAAGCCAGTTGTTCAAAACCACCAGCCCTGCCCGCGGGGGGAAGATGAGGCTTTCTGCTCCAGTGAAGATCCGAAACCCACAAAGGCAGCTCTACTTCATGCCCAGCGGGAACACGTCCTGCCGTCCAATCAATTCGGACCCCTAGTAACCTTGTAGGACAGGGTAGAAGTACTCCTTAAGGCTTTGGAAACTAAATATTGATGGGAGCAGATGAACTTCATCCCAAGGAACAGCTGGTGGCCAGTTCTTACCTGCCACCCCATTTTCTCCCAGACCAAGCTGGGTGGGGTTTCCGATCTAGCAGCGAGCATCTGTGTTGTTCTCATGTTGGGGATTGTTTTCCATTCTTTGGGTAACCGCGCTCACTTTCTTTCTGGGGAACCACTGCCCACTGCCACCCCCCAACCCCCCACTATCATTCCAGGCGATTCTAATGGCCTTGATCTCTCACTCCAGCTGTATGAGAAGGGAAAGGTGATGGGATTCAGGCCAGATCCACCTGTGCATTCTCCTGGATGCAGCGAGTCACTCGGGCATGAGCACTGGATCTAAGATGGACCAAGGAGATTCAATTCTGGGACTTCTGTTGGAACCATTGAGAAGTCGCTCCTTCTGCTCAAGGGTGGAAACCTGGAACTACCAGGTCCACCGTGTGGAGAAGACTTGCCAGCCAGAGCGAAAGACAAAGAAAAGATGGAAAATGACTGGTGCTATCCGGTCCAGTCTGGATTCAGCCAGGCCTAAGGTGACTTCAGGAGGGCTCTGTCTCTGGGTTTTCAGTTACATAACCTACAAAATCCACCTCCTCATTTTTATTCTTAAGCCGGTTTGAGTTAGATTCCTGTCCCTTCAAATAAAAGAGATGGCAATGGATGCATTAAAAAACACTTAACCTGACACGGAATGGATCATCAACAAAACACTCAGACATTATTCGTGGTCTATAGAGACCTCACTCCTGCGTGTTACTATGCTGAGGTCTGTCTTTTGACTACTATGACTTGGGTTCTTTAATGCCCCTTTCTGTTTGCTAAACCCTAGGATAGTTGGGGCTGGGGTGGGGTTAGAGGAGAATGGAACTTGTCAAGCCGCATCCGTGTGAATGAGAAGGAACCAATTGAGGGGGCAGCACAATGCTACTTGGATGTGCATCTCTTCTGTCAGCTAGCCAGCTAGCTCCGGGGGAAGCCACATTACCAGAAGGTAGCTGGACAGGATCGAAATCATAGCAAGAACAGTTCTCTAGGGTTAATATCTAAAGGATACGCTATTCAAATCTATTCATGAATGTAGTGGAGCACACAAGAGGCAAAGTTCTGACAACTTCTCAGACATGACCAATCGCCTCGCAGGAATGAGGATGGGGAATCAAGACTGTCATCCCGGGGAACATTGAGGTCAGTTGGCATAATATAATTCACAAAGATAGGATTCTACATCTTACTTTGGTGAATAGCGGCTAGCATCTCATGAGCAGGCACGTAAGGAACAAATACGAACACTGAGAGATACAAGGTGAGTTAGTTAGTTTATTGTGCCAACCTGGCCGATAAACACATGTGGGGTTAATTGAAGAGTGGAGGGATAAATGGCTCGGTGAGCCTCACCTTTCAAGTTCTCGGGTCTCTTGTTTTGTGATGGTCCCACCAGGGTGCAGCTGCCTTAGCCAGTTCCCTGCTTCAACTGGCAAGGCTCACTTCCTGTAAGACATCCCCGAGGAGAAGCCACATGGATCTACCCCGATGCAGCCCTGGGTGCTGGAGCAGCCGTGTGGAGACCCCTGCCAGTGCTGAGATGCTTACATGTTCACTGATTCGGCGTTCCTCCTGCAGTAGGCGTCATTGCGTCTGCTTTGTGAGATGGAGGAGAACGTTGTGGACTAGTGTTGGACATATGGGTTAATTGGTTGATGTTGGACTTGTGGGCTTGGGCAGCACTGGGTTGGGATGTTTTCTTGATGCACACTTAACCTTTACATAGAACTCTCTCTTATACATGAGTTTCTGTGGATTTGTTTCTCTGAAGTACCCAGACTAATACACAAGGAAAGAATTTATCCAATGGACTAATGAACCACATAATTCCAGAAGAACTAGATGGTGCCCGACTACCACTATCCACTGCTCTCAAAAGGATCATATTAGCAGATCCTGTGTAGAGTCGCAGAAAATTGTGGGATAGAATTCAAAATCATAAATGGGATCAGGCTTCCTGGCCAGATAGAGACTGGTAGAACCCCCAACACAATGACCCTTTGTCATCCATCACGTGACTGACCTCAACCCTGTGTTAGAATAATCAGCCATTTCTGATCAATAGGGCATCATCTACCAAGGGCAGAGAATAGAGGGGTAGAGTATAGAGTGCTAGGAAAGAAAGAGGAATAGAAACAGGAACTACAGGAGAAAGTAGAACAAGTGGTGGTACGCTGGGGGGAATGCAATGAATGAGCTGAAACAAAATGTGTATGAATTGTTGAATTATCACTGATAACCTGCTCTGTAAACCTTCATCTAATTTACAATAAAAACGTTTTTAAAAAGAATATTCTATTGATATTGTTGGCAAGACTATCAAGAAAACTATTAGTCATAATAGTTCAACAATTACAGGAATATATATTAAGTAGAAGGGGAAAGTCCCTTCCACTACCATGAAGAACGAGGAAACCAGTCTTAGAGGATGTGGAATGCCCCTCAGAAGCAAGGACGATGAGAAGTCATCTTGCTTACTTTGGCTGCGCTATCGGCAGGGACTTGTCCCTGGAGGAAGGTGTCGTGCTGTCTGGTAAAGCAGGGTCCATGAAGAAGAAAAAGACTGTCGTGAGAAGGATGGATCTAGTAGCTGTAATGATGCGCTCAAGCTTAGCAACAAATGAGGATGGCGCAGGATGGGCCAAAGCTTTGATGACACCTCGCCATGACAACAGAGCATGTTTCTACATTTTGACCCTGTCCCACCATTTTTGGTTTGGGAATCACGTTGTTTCTTGAAGTGACGTGGCCTATTATTGATCATTTATAGCCAAAATGCTGACGGTATCACCCGTTACTTTGGGCAAGTAATTTCAACATCGTTGAGCCTCAGCTGGTTAATCTGGTGAAATGAGAACAAAAGCAGGGGAGCACCTTAGGGAAGATGACTTAAGTTCCCCACCCCCTTTAAAGGTGCCCAGGGCAGGCTCAGTAACTGACTGCACCTGGGATGCGCAGACCTAGAAGAGACTGATGTCTTCCCGGACGTGGAGCTCAGCCACTCTGATGACCTGGTCAGTCAGTGCTCCTGGGGAGAAGTGGACGTGGGCAGAACAGAGCCCGAAGCACATCTCTCCCAGGGGCAGTACAGCTTGTCCCCAGAGCCTCCAAAGGTTAAGTTCATCTAGGTTTTGCGTTCTACTCCATGTTCTATTTGTGTTGGCCGTAATATTGACATCTCAAATTTAAATGAGTCCTTCCAGATCTTCAAATGAAATCTGTTTGTTTTGATTGCTGTACAAACATGAATTCATTAAGTCTCACAAAACCTTCCCCCACCCCAAAATATTATTTCTTCCAATGTATGGCTTTACCTGAGGTGACAGAGCTCAGTTTTGCTG